CGGTTCCTTTATAACATCGTATTTCTACACGTTTGCGTTTAAATTTTTGCAGGTATATTGTAAATATAACGATACTTTTCTATCAGTTAGGTATGTGTAGCGTTGCAATACTTTTTATTGCTGATAATATGAATCATTTGTTGGGAGAATACATTGCTGGCGGTGTTAAAATCATGGCACTGATCTCGTTTGGTAAGTTTTTTTTTTTGATTTTTGATTTTTATTAGTTTGGATAATTACTGTAAAATTTAAAATATAACAATTTAAAATATAACACGACAATAGTGGCACTCATAAGAAAGTCAACGACCACTCGTACGGCCCACGAGAAGTTGGCGCAAATAAATCGAACAGGAGGAAGGTACTAACCGGAGATATGCAGCATAGAATCAAAGGATCTGGCCAAACTGTGCCTCATCTGAGGGGAGCATTTTAACAATATTACTGATAAGAAATTCTCACAAATAAAAAGCAAAAAGCTACAAATTAAAGCAATCTTGAACTTATGGGGAAAAAAAACGAAAAAAAAGAGCGAAAACAAAGAATTGGGACCTGCAGATAAAAGCAAAAAAAAGCAAAGGCTGAAAAAAAATGAGTTTATGCGAGTGAGAATTGTCTTACAAAAACCCATAGCTTCAGCATGGGACTTCCGTATTTATGAAACTGATGTTTAGGTAAAGCTAAGAGCTCTCTGCTTCACTCAGCACACTGCTTTTTTGCTTTTTATTAAATTTTTTCAAAATGAGCCGCGTTTTTGCAGTGCCAATTGTTGCGCTGAATATGTTCACGGAAATGCGAGTGGTCAGTGCTTTTGCAATGATTTCCTCGATATTTTTCTTGTTTGGTGCAATTGTTATTATGCAATTCACTGTACGACAGCCAAGCCATTGGGCTGAACTTCCAGCTGTAACAAACTTCACCGGCGTTGTAATGTTCGTCGGCATGGCAATGTATGCATTTGAAGGGCAAACAATGGTAAATCCTCTTTAAATTTTAAAGATTTTGAGGCAAATTTAGTTAAAATTTTGAAGAAATTTTGAAGTTTTCGAAATTTGAAACTTATGCAAAAAAAAGAATGCATCCGAATATTCTTTGAGTGGCATTATCATTAAACATATTTTATTTAGCACTTTTTTTTGTAATAAAATAAAAGCGATTTGGTTCCTCTAAATTTACCTGAAGAACCAAAAAAAAATTTTTTTGTGCAGTGGTGACACCACTTTTGGAAGAAGGAGGGAAGAGAAGTGGTTAGGTAACGGGGAAAGGAGAAAGGGGGTAGGACCGGTCGTTTCGGGGATTTTTTGAAGAGATACCTTAGTTTTCATTATCAAGTATTTTCAGCATGATTTTCCCCCTCCCTTATCTATTATCTTATGCACAATTTAACTCGCTGTTTTGCAGATTTTACCAGTGGAAAACAAACTTGAAACACCGGGTGATTTTTTGCATAATTTTGGTGTTCTTCCAACGACAATGTGCCTTTGTACATTATTTATGATTGCTATTGGCTTCTATGGTTATACTGCATTCGGCGCCAGCACTCAGCCAACTATCACAATGAATGTGCCTAAAGAAGGGTATGTTTGT